ATTTTTCTGTCATCAGTACTTCAATTTTGATGAACGTTAGATAATTAAAAATAAACAATTGCGAGAAGATAGAAGCCCAGAAGAATGAAATTCGAAGAATCTAAATACATAAGTTAGTCGTAAATCGCGGGGGACTGTCACAATTCAGAATAATGGGGCAGTTTATATTATTCTCCGATGTTTGCGAACATCGTGCGAAAATAGAGAAGACTTATGGCATGGCCCGGTTGCGACGATTTAAGGATTAGGAGAATACGAATTTATAACGGAACGTTGTTCGAGTATTGTGTGCGATGGATCAAAGTTCTTTCCCACCGTTCGTCATACGGCTTCTTTTCGGCACCGATTGCGTACAATGCGTTTGAATCGTGCACGCGGTGTACCTTTCAACACCGAGGAAATTTTATCCATCTACAGTTGGATAACAGTAATCTGATTAATGATTAAGCTTTTTAGAGCCACGAATTTTTACGCTTAAAATATTTGTGATGGTTTAAAGAATTGTATCTAAATTGAGATTTCTTTTACTGTTTAAAAATAATGATACGTATTATATTTTTGCTGTTCTCGACATTGTATATTTCTTTATACTTTCTATCTAAATTCAGATTTCATGCCATCAAGAATAATTATGTATGTTCTTGGACATCGCTGAACGTTACAAGTATTCTGTATATATTTTATAATTTTCTCTATAAATGCATAAAATTCGCAGTTTAATCATGACTAAGGTGACATCATGATCAATGATGACAATTAGTAATCTAGTAATTATGATTAATGAATAGCTTCGGTAATCAAAGAAAATGTAATCAAGGACATGATAGATTCAATAATCATTAATCACGAAATAATAATTTTTTTAATATGATCTAAGAAATAAATTTATTATGCCAGCTGTAATAATGAATAGATTTTAGAAGCACTAATTCTCTAATTAAAGATTGTAATTGTAATCGTGATTACTGATTACTTTTTATAATCAATTTCGAAAGTAATCGTGTCCATTGATTATAAAGAATATTGAATATACAGAAAATATAAATTTGCTGTGTGAAAGCATATTAAATATTAAAGATACATATAACTGCAACTGATAAATGATAAAAGAAAGCCATGTTTAAAATTAATTTCCTTAATTACAAACATAATAACAAACGTTTAATTTTGCATAAAAATCAGCAATCCCAAAATAATCGATTACTGCCTAACTCTTATCCATACAATTATCTGTAAAACAAAGAACCCATGTGAAAACAATTCTTCAGTTCTTGTTTCCCTTTCTACAAAGGAGTCGCAGACGTCCTTAAGATGTTCAGAGGAGATTAACCGTCTTTGTTATTGCATTGAATGACGCGGAAAGATCAGGGACCTCGTAATCTTGTTTCTTTCAGGAGAAGAACAATTACCATTCTTCGAAACAGTACGTTATAATAAGCGAAACCATTTTCGTTCGAGCTAAGGTATGCAGCCGATGCGCTGACGATTCAAAAACCCTCTTCTGCTATTCATGCGCGTTGCTCGCGTACAATTGGTGTTAAAATCGTATTTTCACTATGCAATACTGCGAAATGGTACTAGAAAATGTCAGCTGCAGGATGTACGAATAAACGGAAGCTCTGTCATCATAGAAAGCTACACAGGATATTCGCACTAAAATGATTGACATAGGTCTCTTTAACACTAAATCTATCTCTCTAATCTTTCTTACTCTACA